GGGAGGCGGCCCCGAGGGCGGGGCTGGGAGGCGGGCCGCGGAGCAGGCTCTGCGCTCGCGCCTTCGGCCGGGACCCGGGGCCGGGGCTCCTTCCTCACACTGCAGCAGCGAGCGCGGAGGAGCAGTGCACGCCCGTGGAACAAGCCTGTGTCACTGCGACGTTTACTGGGCACTTACTGTGTCGGGCTGTGAACAAAATAGACAAGGTTCCTGCCTTTCTGGAACTTACGTTTCAGAAGGGGAAACAGACAAGAAGCAAATAAACCTACCAAATAGGCAAAATAATTTCAGGGAGTGACAGTAGCGTGAAGGAACCAAAACGGGGTGATGTGCACTCTGAAGGCTCCCTGCTTCATAGTGGACGTCCGGGGAGAGGCTGGCGTTAGCAGGACAAATGAAGACCTTGCAGACGTCGCAGAGCCTTCATAAAACTGGCGATTTTCAAGTACACCTATAAATGAATATTGTTATGCACCCCTGGATAGGTTGCTTTTTTAAAAAAAAAAAAAAAAGCAGGATGATGTGATGATGGAGAGGTAGGGAGATTGCCAGGTGGTCAGGGAAGGCCTCTTGTAGGAGGTGATGCTAGAGCAGAGACATAAATGATGAGAAAGAGCATGCAGTATCCAGTTGGAGACAAGTGGTCCAGACAGCACACTCCAAGGCCTGAGGCAGGGCATGAGGCCTCAGAGAGCGGAGAGAAGGCCAGTGAGCTCACAGCTTTCGTTCTTTTGTTTCTTTGGCACATACTTGCTGAGCGTCTCCCAGGTGCTGGGCCGTGGATATCAAGTGGTGAGCAAAGTCCCCGTGCTCACGGAACTGACATTTGTGGATCTTCCTGCAAGTATGGTGAAGGAAGGGTGGTCCAGCCTGAGGTCAGAGAGATGGTCAGGGGCAGCAAGGAAGCAGGGTCACACAGCTGGAAAAGTATGTGGGCCGTGGGGTCCCCCTGACCCATGCCCAGAGCCAGCCACATAGAAGGCCCTCAGCGCCCTGGTACAACTGTTCACCCTCACGGCATCTCCCGGATTCAAGGGCAGGGACCAGGTCTGATTCATCCCGGCATCTGGAATGAATGAGTGAATATGATCCCTGCAATAACCTTTTCTGATTATTTTCTGACCCCCTAACTAAGATTTCACACCATGCTTCTCCACCTTGATATTCACTCTTCAATTACATCACCATGTTCTTCTTCATAATTTTATTATGAAAACGTTCATACAGGAAAGTTGAAAGAACTGTGCAATGAAGATACGTATGCCTACCATCTGGGTTCTGTAGTTAACAGTTTGCTATATTTGCTTTAACATACATCAGTGCCTCTGTCCATCCCTCTACCCATCCATCAGTACATCTCATTCTTTGATACATTTCAAAGTAAGCTGCAGAAAGCAGTACACTTCACCCCTAAACATGTCAGCCTAGGTAGCTTTAAGTGAGTTCAAGATATTTAACTGTAAATTTTACAAACGAAATGCACAAATCTTAACTTTACCATTCCATGAATTTTGACAAATGCACCCCTAGAAAATACGGAACAATGCTGCCCAACAGAACTATCTGCAGTGATGGAAATGATCTGTGCTGTCCAGATACAGCAGGCTCTAACCACATGTGGCTATTGAGTACTTCAAATTTGGCTACTGAGACTGAGGGACTAAATTTTCCATTTTATTTAATTTTAAATAATTTAAATTTAAACAAGCCACGTGGCTGGTGGCCAGCACGGCTTTAGAACATTTCCATCTTCTAAGAAAGTTCCTGCTCCTTCTCCATCAGCCCTTCTCCCACTTTGCTAATTTTTTTCACCATGGATAAGTTTTGCCTACTGCAGAACTATAAATGGAATCACACACTGTGAACTTCATCATGACTGACTTCTTTCACTCAGCATGTTTTTGAGAGTCATTCATGTTGATATATCAAGAGTTTGTTTCTTTTATTGCTGAATTCTCTCACTGCATGACTATACCTCAGTTTGTTTGTCTATTCTCTTATTGATGATCATTGTTTTTCAGTCTTGGGCTATTATGAATAGAGCTGTTATGAACATTCCTACAAGTCTTTGTGCGGATGTATTTTTTTCTCTTGGGTAAATACCTAAGAGTGGGATTGCTGAGTTATAGAACAGATAAATGTTTAATTTTATAAGAAACTACATGTTTTATAAGAAAGATATGTTTCAAAGTGATTGTGCCATTTTACACTCCCACAAGCAATGTGTGAGAGTTCTGTTTGTTGCACGTACTCACCGACATTTGATGTTGTCAATCTTTTTAATTTTAGCCATTCTGGTGGGTGTATAGTGGTATCTCATTGGGTTCCACTTGCATACATCATCATAGTTTATTTTCTTATCATTTCAAAAATTATTTTCTTTAATGTTTCTTGTGGGTTTTTATTTTTTGTCTCCCCCTTTGGAGTGTATGTTCCATGAGGGTAAAAACTTAATCTGATTTGTTTACTGATGTGTCCCTAGTGCCTAGAACAGGACCTGACATAGGGTATGTGCTCACTAAATTCATTCATGCATATGGTCAACAAATAGTTTTTGAGTGCCTTGAGCAGAGCAGATATTAATCCCATTTGACAGGTGAGAAAATTGAGACTAAGAGACAAGAGACTTCACCGTGTTCAACAGAGCTGATAATAGGTGCTAATCATAGCTAACATATATGGCTGCCTACTACTATGTTTCAGGCACCATCTAAGTTCTTTATGTAAATTGTCTCACTAAATCCCCACAAAATTGCCGTGAAGAATACTAATATTAACCCATTTTAACAGATGAAAACACTGAGGCAGGGAGAGATTAATAATTTGCCCCTTGGTGTGGTAATTTAAAACAAACAATTTTGATACTCCTCCCTTCTAGAGGTGGAGCTGAATTCCTGTCCTCTTGGATGTGGGCTGGATTTAGTTATTCGCTCTAATGAATAATGTGATGGAAGTGATGGTTTGTGACTTCCAAGAATAGGTCCTAAATGGTATTGTGGCTTCCTCCTCGCTCTCTCTCTCTCTTTTTCTCTCTCTCCCTGTCTCAGATTACTCACCCTGCCATGTCTGAGGACACTCAAGCAGCCTTATGGAGAGGTCCCCATGGTGAAGGACTCAGGCCTCCTGCCAACAACCAGAGAGGAACTGAGACCTCCCAACAACAGCCATACGAGTGCACAATCTTGGAAGCAGGTCCTCAAGCCCCAATCAAGCTTTCAGATGATGCAGCCTCAAGTGACATCTTGACTACAATGTCATGAGAGGTCCTGGCTCAGGACCACCCAACTCAGCTGCTCTCAGATTTGTAACTCAGAAACTGTGTGAGATGATAAATGTGTGATGTTTCAAGAAAGCCTCTAAGTTTGGGGGTAATTTTTACACATCAGTAGCTCACTAATACACTAGGTAATTGTTAGAACTGGGATTCAAATCCAGACAGTCTGACTCCATTTGCCGTGATGTTCATAATGATACTACCCTTTCTTGAGTGTCTGCCACGTGCCAGGCTCTGTGAAGTGGTCTGCATGCACTCGTGACTTTAACTGGAGTCTGGTCTCTGCACTGTAAAGCAGTGACCGAGGAGTGCAGGCTCTGGAGCTCAGCTACCTGGGGCATAGCCCTGACTCTGTCACTTGTCAGGTATGACACTTTGGCATGTCTTTAAATATCGCTTGGATTAAATGCGCTCATTTGTAAAATGGGGAGAATAGTAGCACCTACCTCCTAGGGTCGTTGCAGAATTACATGAGATTTACATTTACAGCATTTGGAACTGAGTCAGGCACGTGGCAGGCACTCAGTACATATCAGTTGTATTACGTCACCTGTTGTTTTCTATCATAGTGATGACTTACACACAGTATGCAGAGCACTTCATCTCGTTGTACCTTCACCATGACCCTATGAGGTAGACACCACAATTTCACGGACTGGAAACAGCTTTGGAGAAGTGAAGTGACTTTTCCCAGGTCACACAGCTGCTACTAACACAGTCAGCCTGTGAATCAAGCCTGTATGACTTCAAATCAATCCTTCCCATGATATGATCCTCCAATCTCTGCATTTACCTAGATTTTCTGCTAACTGGGTGGGGTGGGCAGAGAACTCAGGTTTACTGAGGACCTACTGTGTGCCAGGCACTGTGCTAAGAGCATTCCATATGCTCTTTCATTCACCCACACGCCGAAGCACTGATTCTCTCACCACAGCGTGCTTCCCCAGGCTCCTTCCCAACTGAGCACACAGAAGGTGTGCAAAAAGTTCTTGTTGAATTAAAAATAGCCCCAAGTGTACAGAAGTTGACTTTGATGATAAAAAGGGTTATTTTGCACTGTTGGCCAAGGACCCAGCCTGCCATAAATACTGTCTTTGGATAAAATAGGCAAGGAGCCCCTGACCGGCGACCCCACCGCCTGGGCCTGTGTCCTCTTCCATCTTTCAGGCTGGCGTTTCCTGGCGGTCCCTCTCAGCCAGGATGGTGCCCGCCAGGAGGAGAAAGCTCAACATCTTCACGGTGGTGGAGGCAGAGCCTCAGACCTGCTCGCTGTTCCTGCTCTCTGTAGGCCATGGCTGCTTGTCCTTGTCCCTACCCCGCTGCTGATCCTTGCCTTTCGGTGTGGCCTGCTTGCCCCTGCTGTTGACACCTATGGTCCTGGCCTTTTGCCTCTACCAAGTCCTCTCACTGCGGCCTCCATGCTCTGACCGCTCTGCTTGCCGTACTGGGTACATCTGGGTCACTGGCATACCCTGTGCAGAACGCTACCTCACGTCCACTCAACACTAGATACCTCCCTCAGCTCTTGTGGGCCTGCCGGCAAGGGGCTGTGCTGACCCAGCACCAAGTTAACACGAGCCATCTCAAAGAGGGCTTAACCTCTGGGAGCACTGCGGTCTCCAACTGAGCTGCCCCTTGGGAATTTTGACTCAGGGCGAGAAGAAGCCAGGGTAGCATCTGACTGCTTCCCTCTCAATTTTCCTCTCAACATCCCAGTTCCAGAGGCTCTTTCCCATTTCTCCCTAGGTATCTGGGAACTTCCTTTCCATAGAGTTCTCTCCACATCGGGCTTACAGGAAACCTCAGACAGAAAACCATGCTTTGCCTTCAGTACATAGAGGGAATTTTTGTAATTTAGACATCTCAACCAAAAAGCTGACTTCGAGTCAAATGACCTTTTTGTTTTAATTGCTGGTATCTGCACTTCTCCTTCCGGAGCTGCAATAAACCTTAGGACTTCGGCTTATAAAGCCCAAGGGGTAAAGAGAAAGAAGCCAGCTGACTGATAAGGAAAGGTATGTCAGGATGTATTTCAAATATACTGCACCCAAGCAACCAAAGAAAAAATGAAGGACTTCGTCAAAGTTAAAAACTTCTGTGCTTCAAAGAACTCTACTAAGAAAGTGAAAAGATAACCCATGGGATGGGAGAAAATATTTGCAAATCATATATCTGGAAAGGGACTTCTCTCCAGAATATATAAACAACTCTTACAACTCAACAGTGAAAAGACAAATATATACTCCAATTTTAAAATGAGCAATGTTATGAACAGACATTTCTCCAAAGAAGACATGGCTAATAAGCACAGCAAAGACACTCAGTATCTCTGGTCATTAAGGAAATGCCAATTTATTTTTTATTTATTTTTTTTTGGTGAGGAAGATCGGCCCTAAGCTAACATCTGTGCCCATCTTCCTCTGTTTTGTATATGGGGTGCTGCCACAGCATGGCTTGATGAGCAGTGCACATGTCCGCACCCGGGATCTGAACCTGCGAAGCCCAGGCCGCCAAAGTGGAGAATGCGATCTTAACCACTATGCCACCGGCCCAGCCCCAAGCAAATGCCAATTTAAACTGCAATGAGATACCACTATACACCTACTAGAACAACTAAAATTGAAAAGATTGAAAATACTGAATGCACGCAAGAATGTGAAGCAAGAATAAATCTCATACATTGCGGGTAGACATGTAAAATGGGGCAACAACTTTGGAAAATAGTTTGGCAGTTCCTCAAAAAGTTAAACATAAAGTTACCATGTGACCCAGCAACTCCACTCC